CTCTCTCTCTCTCTCTCTCTCTCTCTCTCTCTCTCTCTCAAAAAAAGATTTTTCCAAAAAAGATGTATAAATGGTCACCAAGCAAATGAAAAAGATGCCCAGCGTCATTTGTCCTCAGGAAAACGCACATCAAAACTACAATGAGATGCCACTTCACACTCTCTAGGGTGGCCACAATAATAGAAATTGGGGCCTCAAACACTGCTGGTGAAAATGTAAAATGGTGCAGCCACTGTGGAAAACAGTTTGACAGTTCTTCAAAAAATAACAGTAAACTTTTGAAAAGTAAAGAGGTATAAAGTTTGGAAATAATTGGAACTCAACTAGACAGAAAGGCAATAAATTATAGATATAAAATTGCAAGGAAGGAAATAAATATATTCATGTTTAAAGGTGACATAGTAGTATTCTTGAAAACCCAGGATATTCCATTTAAATACATGATAAATTTAATATGCTAGAGGAAAGAAAATAGTTCACTGTTCCAGCCCAGATTTTTTCTGGTGGTGCTGGGGATTAGAACCCAGGGCTTTGCACATGCAAGGCAAGCATACTACCAACTGAGCTATATCCCCAGCCCCAGGTGTGATGTGTTTTGTTAGGCCATTTATGTGCACACATATTTCCTTTGCCCTCAGAAAAGTGTGAGTTGCATCTTAAACTTATGTCAAATAGATGGAAAGCCCCAAGAGAATTTGAGAGAATATTTCAGATTCAAAGAGCAGCATGGATTTGCTTCTAGGTTGGCCAGTCAATAACTAGGCTAAGATGGCCTCAGTAATAAGATATAGGAAGAAATAACTTTGATAGTTTTAAAATTATCAGGAATTTTGTCCCAAAAAATCTGAATAACATAGTAACACAGATATTTATAATACATATACAAGGAAAATAAGTCCTAATATGGAGAGAAAGCCAAATATCCTAACCAATCATGGGGGGATTAAAATCGCAGAGATATTCCTGCCAAATTTAGGATAGACTATTTCATTCCTGATAACCTGCTTATGATCTCT